TTAAAAGACAATGTAATAATAAAATGATAACTATATAGTTGCACCAAACCTTAAAAGCAGTCTTTTGAAATATTTACAGAATATATGAGGTAATATAAAACAATAAGTATACTAAATACACAACTTCTGACAACACGTAAGTTCAGTACAATAAACACTTGATATGTGTCAACCTAAGTAACAATAATTTTAAACAGGCCAACAAGATATAATCCTACATATTTTAATGTTGATTTTTCTCCAGATTTTTCAGATATTCAAAGAATATTTTATACCACATGCAAAAATTATTGAAAACGTTCACAGTATTTTAAAACAATTACTGATATCTATGGTAAAGCACAAAATATTTAAACAATAATAAGTGGTATGCTAAGTGTAATTAAATTGATACTTCTGTGATATGGTGGGAAATGCCGACCTCTCATTGTCACTTCCCGTGAGTCCTAAGGGTGTATGCCAAATCTGGTTGAGATCGGTCAAAAACTGAAGAAGTAAAAAAGCAGAAACATATACAGATAGTGGTCCCCCGGCGATAATATATATGATCGATAGATTGGAATGCACAGTTCTGCATAGTAGTTTCCATCGCAAAAAGACTCCATCGTTAGACTCTCATATTCAAAGCACATCCCTCCTCCATGATGGCCTTCCTTAATCCACCTTGAGTAAACGTGGTTGGTATTGCTTTTCCAAACAGAGATCCTTCTTGATTATGCTATGTACTGTTGCATGTGGCGCTTGGGCGGCTTTTGACACTGACCTTTGTGTTCGTGGGTTCTCACCTGTTACAAGACGCCATACTTTACATACCACAGCTGGGGTACGACTTGTTGCAGGTGTCTTTCTGGATGATCCTAGTGTCCCACATTGATCCAAGATCCTTGGTTTTCCAAGATATATTCCCATTTTGAAAATTCATTCTAAATCCCCGATATGAACATATTCTTATGATCTGAGTGTATGAATATTTTGCGTCTAAAAGGACTGCTACATACCCGTCCCAAAAGTGATTAATTTTCGGTGGTTTCTCATTACATACGTAACCAATGTAAAAATGTAGTTCTCATACATTCCAGTTTATCGTGATTTAATAGCTGCTGTGACTGTCACATGACTTGCTCACTTGCATAGTCAAGATCGTTTTAATATAACGTTCTCAACCCTCTGTATATATATTGATAATATTTGACTACTGCCGTATTTTTTGGTGTATAAGACGCACTTTTTTTACCCCAAAATTTGATGTCAAAATCTGCTTGCGTCCTATACACCG